GCACGTCTCCATAGCGACCTCCCCAGATCCTGAGGGCAAATATTATCCTGGCCAGAAGCAGCAGGGCTGTGTTGACATAATCTCGCCCTGTTGGGGTGGGGGCTCCAGGGGCCCGAGAGGCCAGGCCAGGACGGGACAGGAGAGCAGAGGGGCTCTCAGATGGGGCCCCACAGACAGCTCCAACCTCCCCCCACCTCCAAATCGCGGACTCACCTCCCTGTGCTGGGAGGAGTCGCTGAGATTCAAACCTGTGACCTTGGCTGCCCCCTGGTGGTGGTGGTGGTGGTGGTGGGTGAGCTCTGATGCCCTTTTCTGGCTCAAGTAGAGCGGGCTGGCCTAGGCATTTTCCTTCAAATGTCTAGAATCTGGCTCCTCTTCCCTCTTCCCTCTCCCTGAAGTCCCTTCTGTGGTCCAGTACCCTCCTCTTCCGGATTCCTGCCCAAGTTGGGCTTTTTCTCCTTTCCATCCACGCCCCCAACCTCCAAAAGGGCAGCAGGCAGCCAGAGCACAAACTTGACCCTGTTGCTCCCCTGCTCAGGACCTGCCGTGGCTCCCCAGTACTCTCAGGAGAAAGCTCAGGCTCCTCCCTACAGCTTACAAGGCCTTTTCCGAGCTCTGCAGCCTACTCTCCATGTATTCCCAACTCTTCAAACTCTTCCCAGTCCTTCAACTGGTTTTCTCTGCCTCGAATGTCTCCCCCCAATTTTTGTTGAGTCTTGCCAAGCCCACCTCAAAGTTAGCAAATTTAACAAATACTCGTTTCTCCTGGACTGTGAGCTCTGTGAGGGTAGGGCTGGGGCTGTCTCAGTCATTGCTTTGTCCCCAGTGTTGCCCAACGTTGATTTGGCACATAGTAGGGTTCAATTCATTATATCGGGGACCCAGGTGGCCGAGATAGCGCTTGCCCTGTCCTCATGGAACTCTCACCCCAAGCACAGGCCCGAATAGGGAGACAGACTAATGGGAGGAGAGGTAGAAAGAGAAACACGAAGAAAGAAAGAGTCAGAAAGACAGAGGGGGGAAAAGAGGCTGAGAAAAAGTGGAGTCCCAGATCAGAAGTAGTAGCAGTGGTAATAATAATCATCATAATAATTACCATATATTGGCCATTTTACATGTATCTCACTTAAGCCATAACGGACCTGCAGCAGAGGTATTTCACTTCCATTTTCCAGATGAAGAAACTGAGCTCAGAGAGAGTAAATAACTTGCTAAAGACGACATACGTAATGACACAGCTCATACGTGATAGATCGAGGACACAATTCCCAGACAGAGACATCAAGAGAGACAGAGACAGAGACGAGAGAGACAAGTAGCATGGAGAAGGCAGCCCAGAGGCAGAGCGAAAAGACAAAGCATGACCA